TTGTATAGTCTATGTATTGTACGTGTGTCTAGAACTTGCCAGGTATGTGAATTGAAGCGAAATCTTAGGTGATGCTCGGTTTAAAAAATGATCTTAGGCTTTCTTTGACCTTTTTGAGCTTAATTGCTTATCACAAATAAAATTTATCCCTAGTCAACCCTTTTGAGCCTATAAACTTTTATTTGGCACCCACATTACAAGCCTATACCCTTTTTGTTCTTAATTGACATTGTTTTGATCCTTTTACCTCTTAAAGCACTTTAATTGAAAAAATGAGCGCTAACAGAAGTAACAAGGAACTAAGAGTGGGGTGGCTTTTGAGTGGAACCAATAGAAGGAAGAAAGGTGCACTTGTTTTGTGAAATAATACACCACTAGCGAAAATTGAATTGAGAAAAAAAAAAAATAGGTGAATAAATTATTGCCTTGTTCTTGCTAGTGGGTATAAATTAAAGTAGTGCTTAAAGAAAGAGGGGACATAGTTGGGAGTGATTTTAATTGTGAAATTAAAGTAGGGATTGAAGAATTTGCGCTCAAAGTGATTATGTGATGTGTTAAAGTGCTTAGGAGGGTGAACCACTATTCCTAAATATATCCTACCCATCCCTTAGCCCACATTACAACCATGAAAAAGTCCTAATTGATTTTAGACCGAGTGAGCCTACATTAGTAGAGATTTACATTAAGGGCAAGCTTATGGTACCACTTGCATGCATGTGACTTCTTTTGTGAGTGTGAGTGATTTTTCTTTGATATAATCATGAAATTCGATTGTGTGAATTGATCTATATAATTTTGCTGTGATTGTGAGGGCATATGATTCGTGACGGAAAAGCAAATCTTGACTTCTATGTAGAGTACTTCGAGGAAGTGTGAATATTGCAAGGCACTTGAGAGTCGGCTTTGAGGCTAGGATTGTCCACTGCTAGGCGTAATGTATGTACATTGTTCTAGGTGTAATGCGTTAGGCGAAATGTTGAGTGAAGGAATCTCCAGAGAGTATAGTTTGATTGCTCGAGGACTAGCAATGAATTAAGTGTGGGGTGTTGATAATAGGCGAAATCTAGATGATTTAGGTATTATTTATGCTTCCGCTTGATTATATTTCAAGGTCATATTATGATTAATTGATGAAATATGGGCTCTAAGTGTGAATTGTATATATTTCAGCTTAAGGAGCTTATATTATGCAAGAAAATGTGATTTGGAACCACTTTGGAGCAACAAAGACCCCTCGGAGCTGAGTATGGTTGAAGACAAGGCAAAAATCAAGGCCACTGCACAACTGGGCTAGCGCGCCATATGCGCGCCCGCGCTAAAACTAGCGCGTCCAAGACAGAAACTCAGCAAACTAGCGCGGCCAGATGCGCGCCCAAATGCGCGGCCGCGCTAGTCCAAAATCGGGCGATGGTTCATTGGGGGCAAAAGTGAAAATCTGGAGAAAAATTCACTTAACCTATATAAGGTCAAGCTCGCCCAAGGGAGTTTTATCAAGGTTTTCATAGGCTAAAGCAAGACATAGAGAGGCAAGAGGCAAGGAGGAAATTGGATCATCAAGTTTTTCTTTTCTTCTCTTCGTTTTTGCTAATTATGATGAAATTGAATCTAAGTGTGATGAACAATAGTATGAGTGGCTGAAACCCATTGTTCTAGGGTCATGGGTAAAACATGAATGTTGTTGTTTGAGGTTTAATTTGACAAAGTTGGTTTATCATCTTGGGTTGTTTATTTAATTCTGTTATTAATTGCTTTGCTGAGTAGCTAACAGTGAAACACTATCTACGAATCTAGAGTTGAACTCGAAAGTGAGAATTCTAGGTTGCATATAGAATTAATAGAGCAGGTTCTTGAACCCGGGCCTCGGGGAACGGATTCACAATTGGGATAGACATATACCCACTTGCCTTGCTTGGTTAAAATACAGGAATTGTAAATGCGTTCTTGTTAATCTTAATTCCATAGAAATATAGGCATTGAGTTAATGTGAGCAGGCGAGTAAGAAGTCGACAGATTCTTACGAGTAATATAAACCTTGTCAATCAATAACCCAGATAAATCGATTAGTCATCTTAAGCTAAGGACACAACAAGATTGTTAACTAGCCCGTGACCCTGGAATGTCCTCTCCTACTGTGTGTTATTCGAAACTGCTATTTGTTTGGTTAATTGCTTTAGTTAGATTATTTCTTGATAATTTAGGTAGTAAAATAAGTACATCTTTATTCTATGACGCATCTCTTGAATAAGTAAAGTAATTGGGTTTGAATCAGTCAATAGTTGATCACAAGTCTTCGATGGAACGATACTCTACTCACTACTCTATTACTTGACGATCACGTGCACTTGCGTGAGTGTTTTTAGTCGCAACAGGGAAGGAGGTGAGAGAGACGGGCTTGGGGGGGGGGGGGTAGGGAGGTTCGGACATTTATATATTAGTTGGACCCATACGTCCCAGCCGTTAGATCGAGTTACCTCGACGGCTGGGATTTTCTCTTAATTAACGGGGTCGTTTCTGAAGGAAAGGGTAACGAGCCTGTACCGGTGTGAATATATTTGGGCTGGTGCAGGTATGGCTTGGGGTGGGTTTGAAAATCTCCTTGGGCTTGTGGAGATTGGACTAAAACAGCCCAAAACAAGTCTCCTCTTTTGTCTAATTCCTTCTCTTTCTTTTTTTTTTCTTTCTTTTTTCTAATTTCTTTTAAACTAAAACTAAAAATGAAACAAAAAATTAAATCCTAAATCAAATTGTTTTGCCACATTAGATTAATTAACTATAGCTAACAATTGCCACAAATAATTAAAAAACCAAAGGAAAACTACCAAAATTCCAAAAATTAAAATTAAAACAAAAGTAAACTATTTTTGTGATTTTGTATTTTTGTGACCTTCTAACTACTAATTAATCCCACAAATATGTAAAATTAAACCCTAAATGCAATGCATTTATTTTTGTGTTTTTATATGAATTAAAATGCACAAACGAATGCAAGCAATTGATAGAAATGCCACAAAAATCAAAAAAATAATAAAAAGAAATTATTTTGTTTGAAATTATGGGAGTAATTCATATAGGGCAAAAATCACGTGCTCACAGTAGTGAATTTAATAAGAGAATATTTCCATCATTAGATTAAAATTTAATTTGTGCAAATCACATAATAGAAATTAAAGAGCTATCTTTGCTAGCAGAAATGAATATGTTGATCAACTAAATAAAAGGTTGATTACTAAGTTTTATGGTAAATTTTTTTTTTTTTTTTGTCCTTCTATCATACACCAATTTTTTTTTTTAGGTTCATTTCTTACGGATGTTAGTATCACCGTATATATAATAGACTAAGTTAAAAATTGATTTTCCGCTGCAAATAAGTTGATTTTGAAGAAAAATATGCCCCTTATACTACTGAAAAACTTGGATCTGCCGAATAGCTTATGTAATAGCACACAGTGGTATATAAAAATTCATACATGCAGAAATTATGATACTGGTCAATGTGCTTCTAAGTACGTGTTTATCCCCGAATACAACTTTCGTCTTTGGAAATTAAAGAATATCCCTTTAAATTTGTGTGAAAATAATTTTCAGTATGTTTATGTGTTATAATTATAATAAATAAAGCACAAGGACAAACATCCTAAATATTGGACTATATTTACCGCAATATATGTTCTTGCACGAACAACCATATGTTGCTCTTTCAAGAGGGATATCAATATCGACAACAAGAGTTCTGGTTATGGTGGAGCAACCAAAGCATTAAAAGAAAAAACATACACAAAAGAAACATCGTCTACAAACAAGTGTTCGGTAAGATACCATAACATTAAATATTATTAAACTATAATACATAATTATCTAACTAACATGACCAAATTGATCATTTGTGTAAGTTCTGATGATGTCCACTCATTTTGAATTTATGTATTATGCTAATGTATAATATTTTTCGGCATTTAGATGATTGTTGTATATACATAAAATTTCTCTCATTAATTAGATTTTGTTGTTCCTTCATATGAATAAATATTTAAACGATCTTGTGCTATTATTAACGTGCAACGCATGTTTATAGATACTAGTCTACTTATAAATCTATTCAAACATAACGTTCTTTTAAGCACCCCATGGACTAAAAATTTAATAAATTCATATAGTATCTTCATGCTCAATTGTAGTAATTTTATAAATTTGCGCTAACATGTTGATAGTGCTAGAGAATGGGTTATCACATCATTAAAGTTTTCGTTTTCACATCATTCAAGGTAAACACATGAAAGAAAAACTCCTTTCTTGGAAATTCATCCCTACGGCGAACTTTCAATTTCTAGGGTGTGTTTGGTTTGAAGGAAAGTGTTTTTATAAAAAAGAAACAATTTTTTTTCTTTTTTACTTATTTCTAGTGTAAGTTGATTGATGAATGCTATTTTCTTTTCGTAATGTTTTTCTCACTTTCTTTTTTGGAAACTATAAGAAACCATTGAATTAAGTGAGACTAGAGTTAATCAAGTAATTTTGTAGAGTGAAGGATCGGTATTCTAAATATTTTGTATATTCTTTATTTTAAAGAGAAAGGAAAACCTAGAATAATAGGATAGAATTAGAAGAAGAGAAAACGAAATAGAGAAAGAAACGGAGGTTTGCCATCATTTTGCAATTTTTATGCCATATGGAATAAATCAACTCGCCCAACTTTCTTTCGCAAAGGTTAAACAGTTAACGTGACTTGGTGGCAATAGGTGCAAAGTGTATTTTACGAACTCTGCTATCTTTTAATGATTATAGTTATATTTTCTTTAAATCTTGCTTTTATTGATCCTTTTCCTCTTTGTATTTTTTCTAATTATGGCTGAATCAAGTGGAAGAATGATTAGCAAAACAAACAAGAAGAAAAAGTCACGAAGAAAATTAAAGTTGTTAATCAAATTTGAATAAGCGGCATGTACTGGACAAGAAAATAAAGAAAAGGCTAAAAATCAATATTATTATTATTATTATTTATTCAGTGAATTAATTAAGTACACTTTTTACTCATGCAGTAGTGAATTTGTAACTTAATAATCTAATTTCATCACTTTCATCAGCTGTAGGTATCACTGTCAAATTGTGTTGAAAGGATGAATCTGCCAATAATGGATGAGTAACAACGGCTTGGTAATCTCCATGGAAAAGTGAAGTCTCGAAATAACCATCGGAATTTGTTGTCCCAATTAAACCCTGGTGAGATAATGTCGTACGAACTCTGTCTACAACATCTCCAGTTGGAAGGTTTTTGAAATTATTATCAGTCAAACACATTCGAAAACATCCTTTTGGACTCCATGCTGACCAAATTAATAACCCTTGAACAGCTGGGTGTCCAACCACCTCCTTTATAATTTGATCCAAGAATTGTGCCTTTGATCCCAAAATAGACATAAAAAACAAAAATTGTTAGGATAATTCAGTAAACCTATATTTATGTATGCACAACGGCGGAGGCGATTTTTACTAAGAGGAGACAAAATATAAAGAAATAAACTCACAAAGAAGTCAAAGGGTGTCATTATATTATAGTATATGTACATATTTTTAAAAAAATTACCAAGCTAAACAGTGTAATTTTCCGACGAAGGAGTGTCGGTTGACACCCCTCGAGTGCATGTGGCTCCGCCACTGTGTATGCACCGACCCCAACTTGGTATGATAATGATATGAAAGAAAAGGGTAGCCCGGTGTACTAAGCTCCCGCTATGTGCGGGGTTCGGATAAAGGGCCGGACCACAAAAGTCTATTGTATGCAGCCTTACCCTGTATTTCTGCAAGAGGATGATTCACGGCTTGAACCCGTGACCTTCTCGTCACAGTTGAGCTTAGACGGAAAAATGAGGATTCATATATATATATATATATATATATATATATATATATAATCGATCCTAATTTATTAGGGTGTTATTGTTGTTATTCATATCATGTCTACATTAACAGACTTAAAAAAATTTAATATGCTTTTAATTTGTATGAGAAAAAAATACCTGGTTAGGACCGCTTGAAACATCCAATTCAGTGATCCAAATGGGCAATTTTGCAGAAGCAAGTGTATCAAGTGAGGACCTAATATAAGGCTGGTTTGGAGTAGTAAAATGTCCTTCCAATCCAATCCCAAGAGGACCATTATACCCTTCTGCTCTTAATTGTTTAATCTTAGCAAGATAATTGGCTGGTGAAGATGCACCATCTTTTTGTTCTTCTATTGTATTAAAATCATTCAAGAACAAAGGCGCCTTATCAAATTGTGAAGCCAAACGATAAAAATTAGCAGATGCACCTTGGCCAAGTTTACTCTCAAAAAAATTGAAGTGAAGATTTTCATTAACAACATCCCAATGAATAACTTGTCCACTGTATTTTCTCACAACTGAGCCAACTCTTTTAGTAGCAGCAGCAGATAGTTGTTGTGGGGACAATGAAGGAACCCAATTTGGCTGAAATTTTGGGTCATCCCAAAGTATATTATGGCCACGGACACTGACGCCGCGGCTTTTGCATAATTTGAGCAATGAATCAGAAACTGAGTAGTCTTCTTTGCCTTGAGATGGTTCGTTAGTGTACCATTTCATTTCATCTTCAAATACTGTGAATTTGAATCTTGAGAAGAACCAGTTGTTGTAAGCAGTATTGTTTAGGACGTTTTTGTTAATTGCGCAACCAAATGGGAAATTGGCTCTTCCTTGAATTAAGGAGATTGTTGCGTTTGGTAAAGGCTTGCCTTTTGAGTCAACAATTTGGATTGCCACTTTGCTTTTGCGTACCTGCATATCAATTTTTAAAATCGAAGATTTTTCTATCTTATTAAGGTAAGAATTATTTTAAGACAGAAATTAGATATAGTGGGCGTTTGGACATAAGAATTATAAAATTCCGAAAAAAAGTCAATTTTGTTTAAGTGAAAATGGTATTTGAAAATTAGAATTGTGTGTGGACATAAATATAATTTGGAGTTGTTTTTGAATTTTTGTCATTGATTTGAACTGAAAATTTTGAAAAATACCTTTTTAGAGTTTTTCAAATTTCCCAAACAAAATACGAAATTCAACTTCAAGTGAAATTTAAAATTTTCATGGACAAACAATAATTTTAAAAAAAAGTGAAATTTTTTCGTGAAAAAGTGAAAATGTTCTTATGGCCAAATGGGACCATAATATATGGACATACAGAGATAGACGAAAGAGTAACAATTTTGCGAACTTGGATATTATTATTTTTACCTTTTCAATGGTTTGATCTTGATGGGACTTCCACTCTTCTTGGCTGAATGGTTTTACTGAAATACTATCCGCCCATATATCAATTGATGTATTATTGGTCTGCGTAAAGGGAAAAAGAAAAGATCGACAATAAGTAAAAATGTGTAGTAATTAGCAATGTCAATTTCTTCTTTAATTACGGTTTAATTTTTATGCATTGATCCTGCAAAAATATTTATACAATCATATCACTTGTAGTTAATTATAAGTAAATCAATTTCTGTATTACGGTAACTTGACAAAAATGGTAACTAATCTGCTTGCTATAACATGTTAAACTATAGCAATAATATACAGAGTACAACCAAAGGATGTGACGCAGTGGATCAGATTGCTCTTTCCTTAGCCAAATTAAAGGTCTCGGATTCGAGCCCTGAGTATAGAAAAATCCTTAGTAGGGAGTGCTCCCCCCCCCCCCCCCCCGAATGGAGCCATATGTGACGCGAATCCGGATATAATCGAGCTCCAACGCGGATATCGGACACCGGATGGGAACAAAAAAAAATATACAAAGTACCTCAAAATAGAGTTCGGCTGGTCCAGAAGCATTGACAACTAAACCACCCTTAAACATAGACCAACAACCAGATTTAGCAATGGCCCAAGCAGCATGTTGAAAACCATTTTGTGTCTTGAATATGACTGCTACTCTATGGGCATCACCATGACTCACTTGTACCCAACCTACAAAAAATAAAAAAGAATTAATTAAAATAACCGTCCATCTAATTTTGCTTTAACTAAAAATAGTCGATAGGTGTATAATATATGTATAGTCTATATAATATGTGCATAATCGAGTAAAATTAGTGTATAATCTTTATATACGGCCAACTATACTTGTATCATGATAATGAACTCAATATTACTTGAACAAAAAAGCCAAATTAATTCCACGTTGTTATACTTGTCTGTATTGGCCCAAAAAAAAAAGCACTTGTCTATATTGAAAATGTAAGTCGAGAGTAATTAGGTACCAGAAATTACGTAGAACTTGTCTTTGTCCAATTGAAACTTTTGTGAAAAACCATGATATGGTCCTTTCCTCTCTGAGGCAACGATGTATTTATTTCCATCATTTGTAACCTTGTGCTCTATTTTAGCATCTCCAAAACTCGACCATCCATTTAAATCATCATTAAGTTCCGGATTTACCACTATCCCTCCATTATATTGAGGTTTAAGAGGATTTTTCAAACACTGCAAACACAAATTTAAAGAACCATGACAAATCAGTAATTAATTTGCTAATCAACAAGCGAGAAATAATTAAGTAAAATGAATAAGAGCTAAAAAAAAAAGGAGCTATGCCTCGGCTGTATAACTGTAGTCATAGTTTTGTGCATAAACTTCAAAACCTGCCAAATATATATATATATATATAACAACGTAACAAAGTCGTAAATCAATATATGCCATTTTGTTAAAGAAAATTGCAATTTAATGGGAAGAAGATATATGAACCTGCCGTAATAAGTAAATAGGATAACACTAGAACTGGATTTTCTCTTTTCATGATGTCCATAGCAAAGAATTTATCTGCAATTACAAATCCACAATTACTATATAATCCTGCTATCTTATGAAGAAAGTAAGAAATTTCTAATTCGAAATATTATATATAGTACAAGAAAATAAGAAATCTTCAATTTCAACAACGTTTCAAACTGAGACTGAAGTTGCAATCTAAGAATTATAATTTTTAAATCCATTTAAGAGCATTGCACACACAAAGTTAAAGAATTAACTGTAAGTGTCGCAAATTAAATTGGAAAGTGATAAAAGTTTATAAGAATAATACATTCTTACATTTATTTGCTTGGTGTCAACATGAGATATGAGTAAAAAAAATCCCTGACCCACTCCTCCCAAAAAAATTTAAATATAGAGAAATAAGAACTCTTAATAATGTATACTTTTACCTGGGGAAAGTAATGAAATGCAATTCTCGTGCAAGATGTATTGCATGAAATTGGCAATATCAAAAATATTTATAGTGTAAGAGTTTATAGGGACTTTGAGAAGAATTTAAGCCGTGTCCTTAAATTTTGGTGAGAAAATATGATTTTGATTATGCTAATTATTTCATGATTACAGAGGTTATAAGTAATTAAAAGCACCTATTCATATCTGATTTTGATTAAGAGAGTTATTTCATGATTTTGGAGGTTATAAGTAAAAGCACGTCCTCATATCTCATTTTGATTCTGAAAATTATTTCATGATTTTGGAGGTTAAAAAATCACGTCTTCTTGTCTGATCTTGATTATAAGAATTATTTCATGATTTTGGATGTCATAAAAGCTGTATCCTTATCTTAATTTTAATTATGAGAATTATTTCATGAAATTGGAGGTTCTATAAGCACGTATAATATAGTTTAAAAAGTTACCAAGATTGTACCAAATCTTACCATGAATCAGTTTTTGCGACCATTATCCAATGTTTATTATCATTTATAATAAGAAAACGGAACGGAAATATTTTTCTGAATCGGAACAAACAAAAAGAACGGGTAATTTGGTACGTTTGCAGAAAAGAAAATTGTTAGTACTTAATGGAATGGAAGAGATACATAAACCTACCGAAACAAGTAGATAATAACACTAACAATACAAGTATATCATAATCTTAACAATATTAGTACTACTAGGATCAGTACCACTAATATTGTTATTTTAAATAGTTTGACTATGCTCGGAAACTCTTTAATGTCTTCTTTTGGTTGTAACAATATTATTACTACCATACTTACGTCTGCTCCCAATGGAAGGACCAGGCTATGTAACCCTACAACTTAATACATAAATAAAGTTTCTTTATTACCCAAAAAAAAAATCATAATCCTAACAATATGATTAGATTTTATCTTATCTTGATGTCCTTATATGGCAACGAATCTACTACTAAATAAAGCCGTCTTGTAGCGGAGTTTGGCTGAGACTACTGTTATTCTCTATTGTATTAAAACACAAAATCAGAAAAACTGTTAGAAGAATAAAAGAAACTGGAAAACAATAAAGAATAAGAAATATTCCGAGTCTACAATTTGCTTCTGTGTCCTTAAGGAATTTTAACCCCCTCACACGTTGCCAAGGTAATGGATTAAATCCTCCCAGGATGAAACGGAATAAACCTTCCTGCAACAGTGGCAATACAAACTGCAGGATACCAACGAACTCAAAGAACGGAGCAAAATCACACTTACGAATTTGAGAGAGAGAGACTGCGAATTACAATGCAGTATTTTTTCAGAAAGAAGGAAGTTCTGTAGTGTTTCAGTGTGTTTTCGTGTGTTAAAAACGAAGCCATGCCTCAGAACTTATAGGCAATTATTGGAAGAGGTGTGATGTCTGTTCTAGAAAAGGTGTCTGTTCAGCAGTTTACGCGTCCTGCTGCGGTCCTACCGCGGTTATGCCAGGACCGCATCCAAATCCAAATCCAAAGCCGAAGCCGAGCCGAGCGAGCGACGACGACGGCGCGAGGGTTCATTCTCTTCAACTCCTTTTAAGAGCTCTAAGAAGTGATTCTATATATAAGCACACAAATGTAGTTGTCCTTCACCAATGAGGGACAAAGTGCAAGTCAAAAGCTCACTTCATTCAAATTTTCATTTCCCTCCATTTTATTTCCCACCATTTCCAATTCACACTCTTAGACTTTAAAACCCAATGCTTAAAGTCTTTGAAGCCCAATGCCTTTAAAGTCCAACAATCCCCCACATGAATGGGAATGGCTGTAACAAGAATGATCATAGATGAAAGCTGTGTGATTTGCAAGTAAGGATTAATCACATCTGGATAAGTAGGTTTCCCTTTGAACTTTCCGTAGTGAACATATGTCGGATATACTCGGTCAATCGGTAGATTTGATATCTTTGAACATTCGAACTTTAGTGTATACCTAGACAACCATATGTCACACAACCAACCCTTAACCGTCTTTTGGTTCTCATTGTTGTGTTCGTTTCAACCATGAACACCGCCTGGTTTCATAAGTGCGTAGAGAATTGGCCTTACAGAATTCTCATTGAAGCGGCTTGCACTTCAAACTTACATAGGTGATTCCTAAACGTGTAATCCTTTAGATTGACACTATTTGATAAATACCACATCAAACTTAGGTAATCACTAAAGAACGTGTAAAGTTCTATCCTTGTTACTGAACATTGTCTTCATCACGAGAATGGACCAAAGATTTTACTTTGACAATGTTGAATCGGTCAATCACAACTTTGTTTGAGCTCCTTGAACCTAGATCTCGGAACATCCAAAATTCTAGGTAGAGTTACCGCCATGTTGACTTGTCCTCGGCCATAGTCCCATTCCCTTAGATGATTTCTCAACTCCCTCTCTAGTTAAGCCTTTTGTAAGCGGATCCGCCACATTATCCATTGATCTTACATAATCAATAGTGATAATTCCACTAGAAAGTAGTTGTCTAACGGTGTTATGTCTTCGTCGTATATGACGAGACTTTCCGTTATACATAACGCTCCCTGCCCGTCCTATTGCAGCCTCACTATCGCAATGTATGCAAATAGGAGCCAAAGGTTTTGGCCAGAACGGAATGTCTTCTAAGAAATTTCGAAGCCATTCAGCTTCTTCACCGGCTTTATCCAAAGCTATAAACTCTGATTCCATTGTAGAGCGAGCGATGCACATCTATTTGGAAGACTTCCAAGATACTGCTCCTCCACCAACAGTAAAAACATATCCTCTTGTGGACTTTGTTTCTGTTGAGCCGGTTATCCAATTTGCATCAATATATCCTTCGATAACCGCAGGATATTTATTGTAGTGCAAAGCGTAGTCTTGGGTATATTCCAAATATCCCAGAACTCGTTTCATTTCCACCCAGTGATGTTTGTTTGGATTACTTGTGAATCGACTAAGTTTACTTATTGCACAAGCTATATCAGGTCGTGTACAGTTCATGATGTACATTAAGCTTTCCAACACACGAGCATACTCCAATTGAGACGTACTTTCACCTTTATTCTTTATAAGATGATGATTTAAGTCAATTGGAGTTCTTGCACTTCTAAATTCCAAGTGTTTGAATTTTTCAAGTACCATTTTCACGTAATGTGATTGAGACAAAGCTAGACCCTGAGAAGTCCTCTGGATTTTAATTCCTAGAATTACATCGGCACCTCCTAAGTCTTTCATATCAAACTTACTAGCATGCATACGCTTAGTAGCTTGAATGTCGGCAATGTCTTTGCTCATTATTAGCATATCATCAACATATAAACAAACAATGACTATATGATTTGGAATGTTCTTAATGTAAACACATTTATCACATTCATTAATCTTAAAGCCATTTGACAACATTGTTTGGTCAAATTTCGCATGCCATTGCTTGGGTGCTTGTTTTAGTCCATAAAGGGACTTAACAAGTCGACACACCTTCTTTTCTTTTCCCGGAACCACAAACCCTTCGGGTTGGTTCATGTAAATTTCTTCCTCTAGATCACCATTTAAGAAGGCTGTTTTAACATCCATTTGATGGATTTGAAGACCATACAAGGCGGCTAACGCTATTAGCATCCGAATGGATGTAATTCTTGTTACCGGCGAGTATGTGTCAAAATAGTCAAGACCTTCTCGCTGTCTAAATCCTTTGACATCAAGTCTTGCCTTGTATTTGTCAATAGTACCATCGTCTTTCATTTTCTTCTTGAAAATCCATTTAGAACCCAATGTTTTGTTACCTGGAGGAAGATCAACCAATTCCCAGGTATGGTTGCTCAATATGGATTCTATTTCACTATTGACAGCTTCTTTCCAATATTGTGCTTCTGAGGAAGACATTGCTTCCTTGAAGGTACGAGGCTCATTTTCTAGCAGGAAAGTCAGAAAATCTGGACTGAATGAAGTAGATGTCCGTTGACGTTTACTTCTTCTCGAATTTTCCTCATTAGGCATACCATCTGTTATATCCTCCCGAGGTCGTTTTGACTTTTGGTAGGTCACTTCACTTTCCTTTTTATACGGATAAATAGTTTCAAAGAATTCGGCATTATCTGATTCTATTATCGTATTAACTTGAATCTCAGGATTTTCTGACTTATGAACCAGAAAACGATATGCCTTGCTATTGGTTACTTATCCAATAAATACACAATCAACCGTTTTTGGACCTATCTTAACCATTTTAGGTTTAGGAACTTGTACCTTAGCTAAACACCCCCACACTTTGAAGTATTTCAAGCTGGGCTTCCTTCCTTTCCATTTTTCATAGGGAATGGACTGTGTTTTACTATGAGGTACACGGTTGATTATTCTGTTAGCTGTAAGTATAGCTTCCCCCCACAAGTTCTGTGGTAAACCAGAACTTATCAACAACGCATTCATCATCTCTTTCAACGTTCGATTCTTTCTCTCCGCAATTCCATTAGATTGTGGAGAGTAAGGGGCAGTTGTTTGGTGAATAATGTCATTTTCCAAACATATTTCTTCAAAAGGAGATTCATATTCTCCACCCCTATCACTTCTTATCATTTTGATCTTTTTGTTTAGTTGTGTTTCAACTTCACTCTTGTATTGCTTGAAAGCATCAATTGCCTCATCTTTACTATTAAGTAAATAAACATAGCAATATCTCGTGCTATCGTCAATAAAAGTAATAAAATACTTTTTCCCACCGCGAGATGGTGTTGACTTCATGTCGCAAATATCTGTGTGAATTAAGTCTAAAGGACTTGAATTCCTTTAACGAATTTATAAGGATGCTTAGCATACTTTGATTCCACACATATTTGACATTTGGAATTAATGCAATCAAATTTTGGCAATACTTCTAAATTTATCATTTTTCGCAATGTTTTGAAGTTGACGTGACCTAAGCGTGAATTCCATAAAGTGTTTAACTCAAGTAAGTAAGAAGAAGCATTAACTTTATTGATAGGTACTGCTATTACATTTAGCTTAAAAAGGC